CGCCGCCGGAGCTGAAGCCTACCCACGGGGAAGGTCGCTGGGGCGACCAAGAGCCGACGGCGCAGGTACGCCGGAGAGGGAGGGAGGGCTCGGCCTTGGCACACGTAGAGGGCTGGGACAGGCCGGGCCTCCTGCCCGCGGGGAGTCGGGGGTGCTGAAAGCTGAGGGCTGAAAAGCGCTTTGTCACTTCATGTGTGGTTCATGCTCACAGCAGCTCATTTTTTGTTCGCTTTGGTCACATAAAAGCATGCTGGACAGTCATGAGGAAACTCCTATATGATGGGAGAAAAAGCCTTTTCAAAATAGCTTTGACAAAATTTGTAGTGATCTTGGTTAAAACGTGGTCTAAGAGCTTGATGTGCTGCCCTTTGATGGGCCAGAAACAAGGAAATAAGTGTTTTGAAAGCCTTGTGAGAGACTTAATGAGATTTAAAGTTAAATACTACTTTTCATGAGAGGAAGAAGAATTAGGAAAGAAAGCCAAGCCAAACCTCATTCTCCTCCAGAAAAATAAAAATAAAATCCACATCCGCCAGCCTTTCTTTCTCAACCAGATCGGGTAAATGCGTTCCAAGCTCGTACCAAGGAAATTATGTGAACTCTTCTGACTCTTCTCAGTCAAGTGGAACTTAAAATACTCTCCTCTGGTTCTTGCTGTCATGCTCCCCCTCGTGGACTAAGCTGTCAAAAATAATTTCAAGGAAAAATATTCCTAAATTTTGTTCTGTTCCTTTACAGATCCAATTTAAAATACTGAGAGGACACAGTGGTACAGTGAGCTCCTGCCATTTTTGCTGTGAGGACAAAAAAGTTCTTTATGCTCTTATGATAGAACAGTGAAGCTCTGGGTATGTTATGAAAGCTACAACAGCAAATTTAAAAAAAAATCTGAAATCAAAAAAGGAATGTTATACAGGCATGAAGATTGACTGAATCATCAAGGAGCCTTCAGAAGATGTTTTACTGAAGTTTAAAAATAGCAACTGTAAATTTTTTGCAGTCATAGATAAATAGTGAAACTTCTATTTCATACTTTGAACATATTCTTTGATATTAAAGGGTGACCCTTGTAAGCATGTGTAGCATACACTGAATCAGAGCTCTAATTTATTAGTATTTTAAAACTGTAAGTTGATACATAAAGCTCATTTTTCTCCTGAAAGTTCCTTTTTCTGTCTTGTTTATGCATATGGCTCTTTCTGGAGGAGAAGAAGAAGTTAGGGATCACACAGTTGTTACCAGCATGGCCACAGTGTTTTCATACTTGTCATTTGTTTTTTCTTTCTATTTAAATCTTGATTTGCAGCCTTTATTTTCTTTCTTCTCCAAGTTTAGTGTAGTTAGCTGGGCTTTTTCTAAAGTTCCAGCCATCCTGGGTAGGGCAGAGGCGAGATCCGAACTGGGGAAGTGTACAGATTCTGGGTGATCCAATCTAAATTTAGTCTAAAAGAGAGCTTGGAGACTTATATTTATGTGAGCCCTTGAATTTCATGCAAGCCAAATGGCAGCATACCTGTGCTGAACAGATTGCAGGCATTGACATCTGGCATGTATTGAACAGTCAGGACTCGATTAAAGAATTGGTAATGAGTTATAGTAATGCCTTAATATGAGATGAACACAGATGAAATAGTTTTTATAAAGGATCTGAAGTGCTGACTTCTTACCAGTGGTAGAAACCTAGCACTGCATAATCCAAACCTTTCTTCAAACATACTGGAAAAAACCCTCAAACTCCAAAAATGTAAAAAGTCCAGGCAGTTTTCAGGTTAGCACCATTATGTTATCCAAGATCTGTGGATGGCTAGATCCAAGAAATCAGGAAGTCCAGAATGAAGGCACTCCTGTCTTTTAATGATCAGTTCCAGAGTAAATAAATACATGCACATCTTAAACAAATATTGTAGATAGGAGAAATAAAAATAAGTATCTCAGAGTGTTAGTCATGACATTTACAGTTTAATAACTGTCAGCTTGACAGTTCCAAACTTTCCTGCTTTGTTTGAACTTGGAACCGGAATGGGTATTTTTCTGTCTTTAGCAAAATGTTATTTTGCTGTCTTACATGTAAGTAAACAAAAATCAAGACCTGAAAATGATAAGATAATATTTTATTTTTTTTAAGGACAGTAGATCAACGAATGTTCTTTTTTGCTGGAAAGGCTATAATGTGCCACTCACCTAAAGTGTGGAAGGGTTAATCTGTCTAAGAAGTTTTACCTTTGTAATTTTTACCTAAGAAAGATTTATTCAAAACTTTCTGAGCAATACTTATTTTTCAGAATCTATCTATGAGTACTTGCCTGAGTATTGGAAACTTTCTGATAGCAAGGTGCGTGCAAGATTATGTTAATTTATTTCCTCTTCTGCAGAAACAGCTGAAGTAATTAGAATTCAGGAGACTACGGGAGACTTGGTGACGGGAGGCTCAGCCAGCCCTGACAATTTCACTTCGGGGTTCTCTCCTTTTTTTTTTTTTTTCCTTTGAAAGTCCAGATATCAAGTGACTGAGTGTACTGAGAAAGCATTTGAAGTTTCTCTTGAGAACAGACAGTATCTCACTGACAGTCCACACATCTTTTGAAAACCAAAGATTAATAGGGCGCACAGTAGACAGACTAGATAAGTCTAGAAGGGCAGTTCAGACTGCAAGGCTTTTTTGACTCAGAAAAACAGAACAAGAACATATGGTAACTTTGATCTATTTTTTTTTCTTCGGTCGTAGGACATTCCTAGTGATTCTAGTGTCAGTTGTTAGGCCTGTAGTGCATTGACACACATTCAGAAAATAAAAGTCTGTTACTGAGAGGTGCCCAGTTAGCAGGATAGCTCCTTCAAGTGAAAGTCTTTGTAAGGAACCAGCACTAGATTTGAGACTTGGCAGCTGATGTTAAAAAGGGGAGGAGTAGTCAGAGGTGCAAGATTTTATTCTCATATTGAAGACAAATAAAAGAACATGTACGCAATGAAGGTTGGTTGTTGCCTGCTTCCAGACTGATTCTGAAACCTCTTGGTACTTACACAAACAAAAATCTAATTGAAATTATTTGGTTAATAATGTATTATGTACCTAGGTGAAGGTATGATGACTGATCCTGTGATACTTTAATCTGTGAGTTACTCTGCATGTCAGCAGCCCTCCTGTTTTGTTTGGGGTTTTTGTGTTGTTTTTTTTTAATTATTTTTACAGTCGGGCACTGTGCTTTATTTGTAAAACTTGATTCCTATTTTTATTTGTATTACTAAACTTCAAGGCTTTACTCATGAGTTAGGACTGCACTATGCTTTGAACATCATACACGTATGACAAAAAGTCTCTTCCTGAAATCTCTTAAAACTCTCCATGTAACGCACTAAGTAGATAGAAGATGATGGAGAAACGTTATGGCCTAAAGTTGCACCAGGGAAGGTTTAGATTGGATGTTAGGAAAAGTATCTTCACTGAAGGGTTTGTCAGTTATTGGAACGGGCTGCCCAGGGAAGTGGTTGAGTCACCATCCCTGGAGGTATTTAAAAGTTGTGTAGATGGGGCACTTAGGGACACAGTTTAGTGGTGAATTGACAGTGTTAGTTTTATGGTTGGACTCAATGATCTTCAAGGTCTTTTCCAGCCTAAATGATTCTGTGATAAATGAACCAGTAATGCAGTACGGGTCATCATCTCAGCACTTCAGCAATCTGTTGATTGCTGTTGTAGGAATCACAAAACAGACATAAACGTGGGATTTTGTATTTTGAGAGAGATTTCTAGTTATTTATAGGTGACTCCTTCAAAACATGAAGGACAAAGGGGAACTCAAATTTTGAAAATGTAGCAATTGAGTGACAAAGGCTGGCATCAAAGGTAGGGCAGAAGGGAGATGATGTCTGGGGATAAATCACAAAGAGCTTTGTATTTGAAGACAAGAGGCTTTCATTTGTGACTGAGAATGAATCAGTGAAGGAACACAAGCAGAGGGAATGACACAGTACAGACAGTAAAGGGAAAGCTGTGGAAGAACACTGCACACGGGATTCAAGCAGGGAAGGCTGCATTTGTGAAGAAAATGATGTTGCAATAACGGATGCTGGGAGGGCAGGACTTGAGTGTGACTTTAAACTCGGTGAATGAAAATGGAAAGCTATATATTAGTTTATGAAGAAGGACTTGCCAGGATTTGGTTATGGACATGGATGTGAGAGTCTAAGGAGAACGCTCTTCAAGAAGTTTCTGGTGAAAACTATTCTGAATTATGGGAAGGAGATAAATCTGGGTGCGATAGATGGAGAACTCTGTTTCAGTCAGTCTTAAAAAGAAAAGATGGAATAAAGAGTCTGAGATCGTAAGAGTAACTAAAATAAGACTAACTTTACTGATTTCAAAAGTTTTGTTTCCCTTATTTTGTGATGTTTTGTAATTTTTTAACAATTTAGCAAAGTACTTCCTAATCAAACTCATTTGGATTCATTCAAGGATGTTGAGAAAGGTTTTCCTATTCAAGTTTTCGAAGAACACACGGCCCCAGTTTCTGAGTGCAATTTGACTCCTCATGACAGAAGGTGACCATTTTTTATCTTATTTTTAAGTGATGTTTTTGTGATTTCAAGGTTCAATTTCAGTGCATGTGGAAATAGTACAAAATTTAGAACAAATAAGTTACTTTTTCAATCCTTCCTATGGTTTCCTAACTTGTACTACATCGAAGTCAAACTTCTTTTGTTTACTTTTATGTACTACGATAAGTCACTTTGTTGTCATTTTCTCTTACATCTCCCTTCCTTCATACACTCTTCCTGCTTTTCTCCATCCTTTCACTTTCATTTATGCTGTCCATAACGCTAGCAGGCTGTTTACTGCCAGACTCCTTCATCCACATAAGCTACCATAAATCTCACCTTGTTCTCACCTACAATTTGCACAGGAGCTCTTGAATCTTTTCTGTCTTGCATGATGACTGCTGAATTAAACAGGAATCTTTTTATTGTCTTAAATGCATGTTGGAATACACTGATAGATTATGGCCTCTTGTAGGGCAAAGAACTTTTTAATACTGTTCTTGAGTTATAGGGGGCTGGAAGTATGTCTTTGGCATCCGTTCTGAAAGATACATATAGATATATATGAGTTGTATAAAAGAACAACATTGAATTAGCCACGGTTCAGGGGTTCATCTGTCTGTGAGATTTATACCTTCATAAAAGTTCTGTCAGTATTGTTTATTAATATTCTACAGCCTTTCCATTAAGCCTGTCTTGCCAACTAAAGAAGAAATGCATCTTAATCTAGTGTCAATCTGTGGACATAATAATTAAAACAACTGCAGCATATATTAACATTCGGTTAAGTAGGTCATGCAGTACCTCCAGGGGTACTATTTCTGGCATATTTTATCATTAAGTCATAGTTGAAATCAATTTTTATCAGACTGTAGAGTTGACTGATTAGTTTTTTGATCACATGCTACGCTGCCTATCGCAATTCTGTATATTTTTAAAAATTGCTAAACAGCAAGAAAAATGCCATTATGTATGGTCCTGGAAACTGCCTTCCAATCAAAAATGTTACCAGTTCATGAACTTTGTGTGGTCTTTTGATTTATGTGTTTCCATTTAGGAGCAGGGATTGTGTTGGTTTCAGGAAGCATACAGAGAAAATGAAAAGATTTTAATAATATAATTATATTTTTAGTTGTTAAATGTTAATGCATCAAGTTTCTTGGGCAAAATGCATAAAAGTGACAGTTTATGAACTTAATAAAAATAAAAAGCCATAATTGTACTAAAAATATTTGTCACATCCAGTAAAATTAAATGGAAGTATTACTTTAGATATTTGGGAATATTTTAGTAAAACTGTGTGAAGGAATTTTTTTTTACGTCCCGTTTCATGGAAGCCTGCCTGTTTTAGTAAACTCTATTGAATAGCTTTGTTGTCTAATGTGGCTTTGTGTTTGTGCAGAGCAGCATGTGTGGTAGAGGGTTACCCAGCAACATAACCACTGAAAATCCCAAAAAAGCCCCTACTGACAAGAACACTTGGCATTCATTAAAGAAAAGACATCATAATGGCTTTAAAATTATTCTAACATTAAAAATTATTAAATATCTTTTAATGGTTGAAATTAATAAATTGAGTTGACTGATTGCACTGAAAATTACATACATGACATTTTTATTAGTTTCTATCTGAAATATCCTTTTTTCAACTAAGCTATGCAATAATTTTTGCTGTAGGCTTTAAAAATCTATTTTAAATTTGTGAATATGAGGATGCCAAATCATTGTCAGAATGTCATTTATTTTTAAGTGTCTTCTTTTAAATGAAAACATTGCTGATTTCATTTCCATAATTTTTAGAGTGGTAACATCATCATATGATAAAACTGTGAAGGCTTGGGACATGGAAACAGGAAAAGTGCTTGTATGTATCCTTTAGAATGCATCTTGCAAAAGGTACAGCTGTAACATTCAGATTTATTGCTTTGTTGTTGATAAATAAGAAAACAAAAGATTCTTTGTTAGCACATTACAATACAGTTAGGGCAGGCAGGCAGACTTCATTTGTAGTCCTAGTTTTCGCATTGATAATTGCTTCATTTTGGGTGAGTCTCTTGATGAACACGTCTCAGTTATTTCAGATACAAATGGATATGATATGAATAACCCATCTCAACATTTGATTAAATTGACATTTCAGGATTTGAACGGGGTGGCCTTGTCTAATTTTAAGTTTATTGCTAATGCAAAAATAGAAAACTGAATATAAAGATATCTATCAACTTTCACCGGAACAAACTAATATCTAAAGGCTTCTTTCTGAACTGCTTACAGATTATAGAAAGTCTGCTGTAAAACTCTCTCTAACCCTCAAGCATGTTTCTAAAACCTTTTATTTTCTCTTTAGTGGACAGTAGAACATGAAGGCATTGTAAGTTCATGTGATATTTCTTGTGATGGTAAATATGTGGTATCTCGTTCAGACAGAGAAAATACCATATATGTTTTTGATGCAGTAAGTGCAACAGTAGTGGCACATATCCAAGGTAAGAGTTAAGACTTCTACATCTTGTTTATGGAGCTCTTGGTTGGTTTTTGTTTTTTGTTTTTCTTACCAAAAAAAAAGAGATAATTAGTTCAGTTCAAATATCCTTATTTGAGAAAGGCAAAAGAAACTTATCTGTAAGACATTAAACTCAGTATTTTCCAGAATAGGAAAAGGAGATAATGGTACAAAATTAGACCAACAGTGATTCATTTTTGAAGCATAATTTCCCTTTGAAGTTAATTTCACTAGTGAGACCTCAGTCCCATGAGGCTTCCACTCAGGACTGCAGGTCAGGGAGTTTGCCATTCCTGCAGAATCAGTTTCTGAATATATGAGCAGTCTTACAAATGTTAAATTGGCATATGTTTAACGTGCCCCTCTGAGTCAGAGCCTGATAGTAGAATTGTTTGAGTTTAAAAATAAAAAGTTCAACAAATGAATCCTGATAGCTTCATTAGAGCTGTCTCTGTTGGGTGACACTATCAGGGCATATTTTGTTGATGTTCTTTTAATAGAGCTCTTTGCATTCTTGCAGTATAATTACCTGCTTAAGTGGTCCCTAAGAGTCTGAGTAGTTGAATGTCATTGGCATTATGGGGCCACTCTGGACTGATTTTCAGGAATGGAGCAGAGAAATAAGTTACTAAAAGGCAGCATATGAATTTATGTTACCTGTGTATGTTGAGTGCCTAGGCACAGGTTTGTATTTCACACTGTCTGCAGTAACTATGAGACCTCTTTCTCATTGAGAGGTAAGGGAGGAGGTGTCCTAGCCAGTGAAATAGCGATTTTGAAATTACAGTGGTTTGGAAATCGACTGATGCATAGAAGCTATATGTAGTTCTGCCTTTCAAACCTGTGTTCTGTGATCCACATGTAATTCATCAAAATAACTTATAGTCTTACTTGGTGTTTTTTGTATAGGTCATCACAAAAGCACTATCACAAGATATTGTTTTGACCGTGATAACCAACGAGTGACTTCAGTGTCATGCGATGAGACCATAAAGCTATGGGATATGATAACACGATCCACCTCAATTACAATTAATGAGTCAGAAACAATGCTGTAGTTAATTATGCGTGGCATTATTTGAAAATTATCATTGACATTTATGCTAAGACTTGTACGAAAGAAAATGAGCAGTACTTCTTGAACTAAATAAAGTCATACAGGAGCAAATGACATATATGAAAGCGTGAACAAAATGACCCACTCAAGCTTCCTGCTGTACTTAATTGTAAAATTGTGATTTGATGGCTGTAAGCATTTCTAGTAGTTTGGGTTGGTTGGTTTTTTTTAGAGCTTCTAGGTTCTTGGATACATACAGAGGCAGAAGATAGCATGTGCACTTTGGTACTGCAGTGTAAACTTGTTCTAATTTCTGCTAATTACGAAAAATGTATAATCATTGATGAATGAAGAGATAAAATATTACTTAGACTAGTGAGGCTTTTAAAAACATTATGGTACGAAGCAAAAATAATACAGGGGAAGAGGAAAAAAATACATTTAGATGTTGGGAATTGATAATTAATCATGAGTTCTTACAGAATATTTTGTGATAATTAGGTTTTGCACTGCAGCCGGATCACCTTAGCCCTTCATAAAATTCATGGGCCCCAGAGCAATCACAGGATGATCTACTCCGCTCCTAATGAGCTCCAGTGAAACCTCACAGACTTCCAGACAATCTGTTCTGTTGCCTCACTGTGTTGATCTTTAGAAAGGTTTTCCTAAGGTGGACTATTTTGGCTGCAGTTTAAACTTGCATGTTTGTGTTTAGATCCGCTTCAGACATGGACATCAGATTATTCCCTTGTTTTCTTCAACATTTTTATGTACATGCAAGAACTTCTATTATATCTGCTGAGTCATCTTTTCAGTAGATTAAACCATCCTTATAATTTAATATTTAATTATTTCCTACTTTACTGATCATTCTTGTTACTGATCTCTGAGATCTTTCCAGTTGGCCCACATTTTTCTTGAATTATGTGGCCCCATAATGTAAACAGTATTCCTTCTAACTGGGAAAAAAAATAATTATTTTTACATGCTTCTCTGTGGATGTGCCTGTGTTCATACATCCTGGGATGAGATTTACTCCTTTTTCTGACGGCATGATGGTGAAGAGGAGTCAATATTTGTTACATCCTTTTCTTTTTTCTTTTTTGGCAGAACTGTAATGTAGTCCATTGTGACCACCCCTTATCTGAGCAGTCAATTGTTTGTATGTTACTACAGAATGTCAGACTTGACAATATTGACCTGATCAGGCAGCACACGTATTAGGTAACTGATTAAACACTGTAACACTCCTACAAACTGCAGTGTTGACAGCATTGTTTCCTATAGAGATTGTTATAAGCCTTTTATTTTCTTGATAATTTCTTCAATTCATGAACATAATATTGAATTGTAATCTTCTCCCTGGTATAACTGCAGACCCTCTTCAGCTTCATTTCATATCGGTACTATATCTTATTATGTACATTGTTAATGGAAGTACAGAATGGGACTGGATTCAGGACCGATGCTGTGGATCCCAGTTCAAGATGTACTTTCATTTTCACAGTGAACCAATTGTGGCCACTCTCTGAGGACGGAGATAATTTTTCCTTACATGCTTTTGAAGAAGGTAATGCCCAGGGCCAGAAACCTTGCTCAGTATTATCTCCTGAGCCTTCATGTGCTGAACTCTTATCTCTCACACTGAAGCCAGGAATACAGTAAAAGCATTACATCAATTTAGGATGTTATCATTTTAAGAAGGAAGTATGCAACAATAGAGATGTCAAATCAACCGTTAAAAATACCAATGGCTTTAAGTAAAATCAACCAATTTAGCTTTGATTTCTTAAAACAATAATCACAGAGAGAGTCTGCCTTTATACTATAATAAAATTGTCTTTGAGGGATTAGAAATTACTTTGGATGGGAAATTCAACCTGGAACACTGTAATGTTTCTTTTAAATTGCTGTGACTTACAGCATTGTCTCCCATAAGAGATACTCATAATCCTTTCCCCACTGCAGATTTCAGGAAGCATTAGAGTCCTCGCCCAGTTCTGGAACATCCAGATTTCTTTTCTGAAGGGTATCCCTGCTTCCAAAATTAGACTTTAATCTAAAATGGATAAAAGTGACAGAATTTTTGAGTTGAAATTTACGTGTAGAGATAGATGAAGGCTATTTATTTAATGAAAAATGGGTGGAGATTTTTTTTTGTAATTTGCTTTTAGTAAAATGTGGTTGTGTTGTACCTGCTGAACAATTTCTTATTAAGCTGCATTCAACAGCAACAGCAACAAAATAGCTGGTCACTTTTCAGTCCTGCAAAATGACCTAATCCAATAGTGGATTTAAACCCATGCTGGCTGTGGGTTCATAAGTAACTCCAGAGACTTACAGAACTATTCATATGGTTAAAACTCAGAATATGCTTATGATGCTTTACTGGATGGAGACAGGGTGCTCAGTGTTGCAGGAGGCTCTTTGAGAGATTTGTAATGGTTACAAAAGCTCACTCTTCCCCTGTTTTTTATCTGTGTTTCAGGGGACACAGCAATGCCATCTCAGATTGCTGCTTTACCTCAGACGGTCATTACTTGTGCACAGCATTGTGGGACTGAAGCTTAAAAATATGGGATATAAAGCCAGGAGAATTTCGGTGTCATGAACCTGTTTCTTTGAACCAAGGACATGAGGGTTCTGTTAGTTCCTGCATTTTTAGCCAAGATGGTGAGTATCTTAATACAAGTGCATGATGTATCTCGATACCTATGTACAGGACATCTCAGATAAACCAAGAGTGACTAATCATATAGGTAATTAAGTCATCATTCCCAAGATAACATGTTTAATTATGAGAAAATGACATCTATGTGAATAAGTGAATTGAAGTTGATGGTCTGTGTTCCGTCTTAACCAGGCAACTGGAACACTTGCTTAATTGATACACCCATCAAGAGGTATAATATCCCAGAATCACAAAATGTTAGGAGTTGGAAGGGACTTCGAGAGATAATCCAGTCCAACGCCCCTGCCACAGCAGGATCACCAGACCAGGTCACACCGGAACATGTCCAGGCAGGTTTTAAATGTCTCCAGAGAAGGAGACTCCACAACCTCTCTGGGCAGCCTGGTCCAGTGCTCTGTCACCCTTACAGTAAAAAAAATTTTCCTTATGTTCAGGTTGAACCTCCTATGCTCCAGCTTGCACCCATTGCCCCTTGTCCTGTCATTTGACATCACAGAGAAGAGCCTGGCTCCTTCCTCCTGACACTCGCCCTTTACAAATTTATAAACTTTATGAGGTCACCCCTCAGTCTCCTCTTCTCCAAGCTAAAGAGACCCAGCTCCCTCAGCCGCTCCTCATAAGGGAGATGCTCCACTCCCTCCATCATCTTTGTGGCTCTGCGCTGGACTCTTTCAAGCAATTCCCTGTTCTTCTTGAACTGAGGGGCCCAGAACTGGACACAATATTCCAGATGCGGTCTCACCAGGGCAGAGCACATGGGGAGGAGAACCTCTCTGACCTACTAACACAGCTTCTACACACCCCTTCTCATACACCCCAGGATGCCATTGGCCTTCTTGGCCACAAGGGCACAGTGCTGGCTCATGGTCATCCTGCTGTCCACCAGGACACCCAGGTCTCTGTCCACTGTGCTGCTCCCTAGCCGGTCAGTCCCCAACCTATACTGGTACATGGGGTTGTTCTTTCCCAGATGCAAGACTCTACACTTGCCCTTGTTGAATTTCATTAAATTTTTCACCACCCAACTCTCCAGCCTGTCCAGGTCTCTCTGAATGGCAGCACAGCCTCTACTCCTCCCAGTTTTGTGTCGTCAGCAAGCTTGCTGACAGTGCACTCTGTTCACTCATCCAAGTCGTTGACGAATATATTGAATAGTGCTGGTCCCAGTACAGACCCATGGGGGACCCCACTAGATACAGGCCTCCAACTGGACTCTGTCCCATTGATCACAGCTCTCTGACTTCTTTCCTTCAACCAGTTCACAATCCATCTCACTACCCGCTTATCTAGACCACACTTCCTCAGTTTAGCTGTGACAATAAAAAGATTATAATGAAGTAAAAGCACAATACTATGTTAGAAGAACTTAGCACTTGTGGATATCCTCCTAACATTAGTTAGTTGAAAAAACGTGTTCAGTAAATACTGTACTGATCTGTAACAACTAGGAAAATGTGTATGTTTCTGTTAGTATCTCCAAAAGTAAAGTTACTTCACAGCCCAAAAAACATCTGCTAGTAATGTGTTTCTGAAAAACTTCATGGATGTTTTCAGCTACACTGATGGAGCACATAAACTACCATGTTCAACGTAGATGATATTTATGAGTTTTAGCAAGACAATTTGGCACGTGGAACTTGATGTCTCCACGGTAATTGCATAAAAAGGAGAAGAAGGAGGAAGAAACAGACTCTTCAGTTCACGTCTATTTGAGTGGAAGTAGTGGGGAGCTATTTCTTACTGCCTTAGTTCCATGACTTTTACTAGATCATAGACAACTTGTAGTCCAACATGAAATCAGTGTTTCTTCACGGGGATGAACTAATGGGAATTTCTGTACATTTTGATCTAATTGGCTGTTTTCTTTTGCAACATCACATCTGAATACCCCAGTAAAGACGACACCTGAACTGCTGACAGCAGGTTAATCAGCAGTCATACAAAAAGTATCTTCTGAGTTAGGCAACTCAAATAAATAAATAGCAACTCTATGGGGAAACTGTACCTGTGGCTTGAAGACATGCAAATGCAGATAGGCTTGTGAATATCTGAAAGCGTGCTGTCTGCAGTAAACTCTGCATTTTTGTTTTTATTCATAGTTGACCTAACAACTCTGAAAGTATTCTCAATATTGTAATTTGTAAACAAGATAGCTCCTTAATTTTCTGAGTCAACAAAGTTTTCATGTATGGCTTTTTTTTCACTCAGTTGTATGTTTGCTAAATTTATGTATTAATATTACAAAATTAAGAACATTAACAGCAAGTAGCCAAGGAACTTCAGCTATCTTGTTAAGGCATGACTAATAGCTAAGTGTTTCAATTTTTTTATAAAGTCTGACTCACTGTTAGAGGAGCTTTTATTAGTCTGTATGACAAAGCAAAGATAAAATACAGTGTTCTGATTTTACATTTCAGCATCACTTGTTGTGTCTGGTGGATATGACAAAACTGTAGCTATATGGGATATGGATGCAGGCTATAAAAAGCTAAGCTTAAAGGTACTGAGCTCTTATTTTGTCACTAGTTTGTTGAGAAGGTATAAAATGTATTGCTGGTTTAAAAGCATTGTATATTTCATTATCTGACAAATACCCTTGCCCATCCTTTTTAGATACAGGTAGGAGTACATCCTGGGTTTGTGTGATTTTATTTGCTAGAACAGTAGATTCTTACAGCGTTAGCTATAAAGATAGTACCTTTGTCAAGTCAGTTGTTGATAAGCTATTTCATTTTTATTTTTACGAGCAAGCTCATTTAAAGATTATATGTAATGGAGTTCTACCTGTATTTTAGGAGACTTAATTCCAGCAAGTAACAAGAGCCTGGATACTGCCTACATTCATTTTGAAATGCCACACTCTTGTATATCTGTATGTTTGCATGCTTGCTTATGTCCACAGGAAACAGTACATTAAAAGGGAAGCATTCAAAAAAAGTAAATATTGGTGTTGAGGATGTCAAGCTTAGCACAGTCTCTTGGTTCCATGGTTTACATTACTGCTCATAGTGATGGGGATGTGGTACATGCTGCAATACTTTTTAGGGTGGACAATTCTGTAAGTGAGGTAGCTATTCAGTATTTAGCTATCCCTGCTTAGAGCTAAGCCTTCTCTTTTCTTCCATATCTATATAATACTACCCAAAATGTGAGGCGGTAAGTAATACCTGCATTAAAAAAAAAAGGTCCAACTCTCATTAGTTCATCATGGCTTTATTTTTTGCAGACATACCATATTGTATTACAACAGTTTTCATTTGTTTCTCATTTTAGTGGAAACAATCCACAAGACTTGAACTAGCGATCAGACATATGGGTCAAAGAAAAGGATTAACAGTATTTATAAAGTGTATTCATATGTGCATGCATTTTGCAAATATTAATTTCAAAGGAGTCAAGCAATATCAGAGTTCAGATTTGCAACCTTGGCTCTTTCCTATCTTATGAAAATATGATTTTAATGGACTTTTTTTTTTTTTAACTTACTGCATACGCTATTCAAGGCTTAGTTAAAACACCCATGAACAAACCCACCTGGATGATCTCAGAAAAGACCACTTTTCGTCAGAACCTTGAGCTTAAAAACAGCTTCAACTGCTGTCACATTTGAGATAGCTTGTTCATACAGGAAAGCACATAAGCCTGTGCCTCACATGTGTTATCTTAAATGTAAGCTTACCTACACTCCAGAACTTGAACTGTACTCATGAAACCTTTTGAGCAGTAACAGCACACATTATCCACCAGCATCACCAGCTGCTTTACATAATACAGCTACTGCAAATTTCCCCATTCACAGCGATCACTGTAAGTAACTCAGTTCCCTGTTAAAAAGACAGCATCTGTTTAAATGGTGATATCTTTGTAACTATGGGGAATTCCAGCTCAGTACCTATGCCTTGGTATAATTATATTCTGGACTCATAACTAAATTCAAAAACCTGTTTTAAAGATTGGATTCAATCTTTAAAACTGTTTTATGCATGCATGTGTGACAACTACTCTGTGCTGAAAAAATGCATGCTCATCTTTTTATTGTTTTTCTCAGGTGTGGCATTTGTCTATCAAAACGACACCGGGCCTTCCTAAACTCTAGAAATGTTCCATGTTAATACCATTCATTCTTTAATAACCTCCCTAGCTGGAATAAATAATTCATTTTAGATTTTAACCTGTTTCTAGTCTTATGCCAGCTCAGTGCTGTTAACCTCAAATCAGCTTTGCTGCTGCTGTCAGAATGAGGATATCCGATACATCTGCTTGACTTGGCCTGCTTTCAGAACTGGTTTCCTTCCCTTAAACAAGGGGGAAGCTGCTGTCTGTTCCCACAGCTCTTCCCTCCATTATTGCATGATAAACAGACTCAAAATTTTTTTAGGTAATGAGTATTAGATGCCAGGTCCCTCTCTACAATACTTTATTTAACTGTTTAAAAAATAGAAAAGACCCATGCTTAAATGGAGCTTAAACCCATGGTAGATGTGTAGCTGTCATTCATCCGAGTGCTCCAACTGGTGGTCTGCTTACTAGAGATGGTAACAGCCATGGTTTTCAGGTATATGTAGAAAAGTATGAACTTCATAGAAACATTTTTTTTCTTGACTGTACATGAGGCAGTCTAGATAATTTTTCTCACTGCATTTCAAAATATATTTATCATACAAATAGTTGGTTTTATTGTCATAAAAATAATAGGGTTTTCTTGCTTTTTGCTTTACTGTAGGGTCATTGGGACTGGGTGACAGATGTTGCGATTAGCAAAAACAAGAAACGGGATTCTTTCAGCCTCGCAGGTAATCACTAATTCCTCATGTGGTTTCAGGAGCTAACTTATAAATGGATGTCATTATTCCATCCTTTGTTTTTAGCTTTTTTAAAATGAAATTTAACAATGATCAAGTTATAAAAGTGCTAAGTTGTAATCAGTATTTACCTTAAGCATTTACAGAAGATCTTTGAAAGAATTTGATAAGTATGTTTATTTTTGGTTATTTTAAAATGTGTGGGCAGTTTCAGATTGCTAAAGATTGTTTCCAAGGACATGATATTCAAGTGTGAAGTTTATCTCTCTTATTGAGAGGCCTCATCTGATAAGATTTCATCCTTATGGAAATTATGTAAATCACTCTTTTGGTAATATGCAAATACATCAAAATAATAGCATCTTCTTCTCAGGATTCTACTTTGAGATTGTGGAATATTGAAAAGATGGATCACATTCCTTCAGTGATAGAAATCAGAAAAGCAAGAGGCTCAAAAACTGCTCAGGTTCTATTACTTTGTTTTTTAACCATACCTCGTACTTTATTCATAAAGAAAAAGTGAATGTTAAAGGAAAGCTGCCAGATTTCCAGGCTGAAAACATTGATTGTCTTTGTTTGCTATTTGCAAAGATTGTCAAATCCATTTTTGGGAGTGGAATGTAGTAATAACAGTTCATTTCTTAAACTGATTTTGGTAAGGACATCAGTTTTCATATACAGGTGCATTTTTGTTTTTAGAAAACAGAGTCACATATGTGTACTCTTAAAAAGAAGCATACGTTGTTTTTTCCACACCTGATGCTTCTGTAAAGTACTTGGATGCTTATATAAGAGTATTACTAAACCAAGGCAGGTATTATTCATATGCTCATGGACATAAATCAGCTTACATGAATTCTGAAGAGTGTCTTTTTAAAGCTGAGATTGTATATTCTGACTTCTAAACCATGAATTATAAATAGATGCTAGGAAAGAACAACATTAACAAGCTTAATGCTATCGAAACATGCATTTTATTACAGTCCCCCAATTGTTTTTGTGGCTTTACAAGATCTTGTGTATAAGTATGTGTATGTATTCTTGTCAATAACCATTAAGTTAAACTACATGAAAAAGAACTAACTTTTTTATTATTTCTATAATATTTTATCAAGCTTAATAATACCTGTTCAACAGCAGGTATTCAAAAGCAGTGTACAGCTTTTAAAGCTTTTAAATAAGTTTTATAAATGTGCCAGCAGTGAAAATGTGTACGTTCCTAAAAGTGTCAATTAACAAAAATTGGAGAATATGATTAAAATTGGTACAAAGAAAGGAATTTTTTTTGTGTGTTGTAGCAATATTTAAAGCATACCAAACAACTAGGAAAGTCTCAAATTGTCTCACACTTTGTAAACAGTTTCACAAATAGCAAATTGGGAATCAGTGTTAGGTTAACTATGATAGAAGTGGATTAAACTTCCTGACTATGTGTGTGTGGTCAGCAGAAAAACTTCTTTCTGCTACAGAAAGTTAATATTTAATCTAAAATTATTTTTATGTATAAATTTGTCGTATTTTTCCCGTACATGTCTCCTTTAGTCAGATAATGGTCAGGTTAAAAAAAAAAAAAGTAGTAAACAAAAAAAGCCCCAAACCACCTAGTGATTATCACCAAGACAGAACAGCTAAAAACTGGATACCCATCAAGCTGCCCAGAAAGTAAAGTATGGTACTGTATTGGTTGGAAAAAATAAAATCAGAGTTCACATAAAATGTAGTTTTTATTCAGGAAAAAAACTCCAAACCACTCATCACAGGAATTAATTTTGGGCAACACCATTTGTGTCAAGCTTGTGACAGTGATACACATTCAGGGCATCTTGAAAATCGGGCATAGATACATGTGTGTATATAGAGCTGTACCTTCTTGGGTGAAATAATGCACCTCTGTCACAGATGATTAACTGAATTGCCATTTTTTGTTATATTTAAACCAGTGTGAAGAATGTGAAAAACCTTTCTTATGCCTACAACATAGTGACTCTGAAAAGATATCGAAGTGTGTATTCTATCGTCCATCTTCTCCAGTGAGAAATATTTTGCCATTACCACCTTCTGTTTCTCCTGATCTTTAAATTAATCTAGTGGTTTGGGGATGTGAAGTCATTTAAGTATAAATAGAGTATCTGTACATGAAGCTAAGACTTCCCTCTATAACCTTGCTCTACCACAGTATTTTGTATGACAAACCGAAAAATACATTGTATGAATCCATTAAATAGCTGTGATGTATTGGGTAAAGAATGAAATCCCCAGGAGTAGAAATATTCTTTATCCTGCATGATACTAGAGAATAAAATTATTTACTTGTCCTTTGGGTAATTTTCAGCAAATTTAAATCAATGTACTAGTTCCAAGTTCAATTTACTGAAGAAAATATGTGGATATTTAAATTATTGACAGGTTTCCTTATGTTCTTTGGATAAACCATTCTTCTTTACTATGACAAACAAAGAATCTTTGCTGTCAGTCAACATTAGAAAAAGTTGTGTGAGTAAAACCATGAATAGGACCATTAACTTTTTTCTAACTTGTTGCCGTACGCCTTACAAAACATTTGTAAAGGAGTTTTCAGGCATTGAGGGTAAGTTGTGGTTCTTGTCGGACATGATGCAGCACAAGTTAATCCTGTGTAATAAAGGCTCCCTCCAACAAGGAGCGTGGTATTCTTACTACCCTTTCGTAGGAAGCAACCCTGAGAGGATTATATCTATTCAGCATATGTAAGAATGTCAATTAATAAAAGATTAAGTGTTTCAAAATGTTTGGAAGCCTTATCCTAAAAATAGTGTTTTCAACCTTTTCAACATTTCTTTCTAAAAGGAACTTGAAGTGGGGAAAATAGTTGGAACTGGGCATGTGACAGCCTGGAATGCAGCTAAGCTGTGGAATACAAAGAAATCTAAGTAGGTAGATGGTTTTTTTCCCTTGTCTAAGTTATGTGACTTGTGTAGCAACAATTATACTTGAATCCAAGGTTTAATGAAAAATATTTGTGGGGAATAGTATGTTTTGTACAGATGTATGGCTTTGAATGAGTATTAGGTGGTAACTTTCCAGCATTCCTTTCCCCTCTTTACTCCTTAATTAAATGTTATTGTTTTGTTACAGAAGCTAAAGAATATGCTGTGTCTATGCTCCTCATGTTTGTTGTTTTTTTTTTTAAACAGATGGCATAAAATATGCATATTTTGTAGCTGAATTAATTTGGCTTTATTATAGTTAGTAATACTGAACTAATTTCTGTATGTTAGAAAAGATTAGTCCTAGAATAATTAATGTTTTATTAGAATTAAAAGTGTTCTTTAGTTCTTTCTTTACCCCTTTCAGCTCGGAAAATGAAAGCTCCATTTTTTTTCTGCTGAGACAGGACAAAAAGCAGTTGTTCTATAGAGGTTTGGTTCATTTTGCATTAGTAATGTGAATAGGTTGTAAATTTTATTTTGAATTAATCTTCTTTCTGTTTCCCATACTGAGAAAAACAAGGCAAAAAGAATTTTTACATTGTGGTTTTAATAATATCATGAAGTTTCATTACTTATTGGTGTTTTCTGTCCATTACCATCATCTGTTTAGTGCTTGGGTGCCATTGAGTCAGCTTGTCTTCAGCTCTACAGCAGCAGGCCCATATTTGTATGCAGCATAGGTTTTGTGGGGAATGTGATAATTACAGATAATTCATAAGTTGGAGATTTATCTGCATTTTTTTCTGGCTCATGTACCCCTGAAGTTTGACTAATTCACTCAGTCCCTGTTCTTACCTGATGAGAAAGTTGTAAGGCTGTTTTAGACCAAGTCAGCATGGCTGCCCTTCTGGGAGTTATTTGAATAGCATCTATAATTTGGCTGTAAATATGCCTTAGATGCTTGTTAAGTTGCCAAAGCAATCTCTGTGTTTTGCAGATTCTGATTATGCTCCAGGCCTGTAATCAGGGCTATTCATGGAGATGATCCTTTCCCGGTAACTGTGGGTTGTGGGCCAGGCTCTGTATTCATCCATGGCTCATTCCCACCTGGTACCACCCCAGCCATCTCTTGGCATGGGGCAGCCTTGTTCGGCACCCTGTGCGGGTACCACGTTGGAGCACTGGGGCCCTGAGGGAAGGCGTTCTACTGTAGCAACATCAGTTCTGCGTGAAGATTTCTAATTAGCCCTACAGAAAACTCCCCAAATCACTTTTTCTAATTACTTAGCTTATATGAACATGTGTGTTTAGTGAGGCACTCTAGTGTTACGTGTGGGCACCGACCATAAAGCACATAAGCAGTATCTGCATATGCATATTGTGGTTTAATTTTTGCATCATTATAGATGATTGCAATACGTAACTGAGGCTCGATCTTCCCTTGGTGTCTCCTGCTGTGAGCCTTGAGCAGTCGAGGCGCTGTGGGATAAGGCAGGACGGGAGCCTAACCGTTAACAATCTTGCTTAAATGTTTATCTTTGAAATGCTGACATTTATGTATTTTCCTTCCGTCTTTACATGTGTTGTACCAAACCAAACGTCCACGCGTGTGTGCGGTGTACAGCCACGCACTCCGCAGTAAGTCTCGCAGAGCAG